AGCTCCACTGGAGATTAATGCATTAGTCTAGTGTTTGAGGACAGTCAAAAATCATAATCAAGATTACCTTTAAAAGAATTTAATTCGATATGGATAGGTCATTATGAGGAGGAAACATTGTAAAACGAGGATAATATTATAATATAATTATACAACAATCTGCACACAATTATAGAATTTCAATAGAATCACGGACGCAAGGAAAGAACAAGGTTAAAAAAATGACTGGAAGAAGAAAAAATATCCACGAAAATTGATACTGTTGAATAATTCCAAGAAAAGCAGAATAAGAAGGAGGAAAGGATTGTCGTGTTCTACATAATAATGTCAAGTGTGGGATGCAATATAGGACTCTTCTATCACTTTGAATCATTGAATTTGCTTCTACGGGTGCTATTATGCCTTTCACGTTTGAAAAAAAAGCATTGTAGTGCTAATAGGATTTTGTTTGTCCGTTCTGTTTTGTTATTTTTCAACTGCTTACTTAGAAAGACAAACATATTTAGCGTTAGTTAGTCAATGAATTGTAAAACGTGATGAAATGGGTATGTTCTCTTACTATGGACAGCGTTATTTTTGTATTATATTTAACAATATAAGGGTAAAAATAAAAAGAATTTACTAAGGAAAAGGAAGAATTACTTGTGCCAATATTGGGAGGAAAAAAGGAGAAAAATGCAAATGAACTTGACCAAATGGTAGGACAAGAGTAGAATCAATGTTATCCAAGCCAACCATCAACATGTTGATGATTTTATTTCGCTTTAATACAAAAAGGATAGCGATGATGGCTGCTAGCGATGGCTGTTTAAAAGTAGCCATCTTGTAAACTCGAGATAGAAGCTTGCTGGGTGGGCCCGTACTTACTACGCTAGCATAGGTTGTAAATAAATAATAAACAGCACGCGGCAGTCGATGATCCATTTCATCATGTCATTTCTCTTGTCTCTTAGGGAATGGATTTAATTTAACACTGTTTTCTGCCTTATCATTATCACAACAGGAAAGTAAAGGCGGTCATTGAAAGAAGAGATACGCAACTTCAAGGATTATCATGATTTGAAGACGGTCAGCATCAGCACTGATCGCCGTCAATTTGACCGTTCACAATTAGTTTAACGGTCTTCACTGTTTGTACATTCATTTCAGCCATTAATTAAAAGATCAATCTCAACTTTATTGTATACTAGCCTATTTTGCATGAAAGAAAATTAGCTTTCTATTGGATTCATGTTACTCATTTCAGTGCTTTCCAGTGCCGTCTTTAGCACAATTTTACATTTTTCTTACGATACAGTAGCAACTCATCCTTCTCAATCTATCCTTCCTATCCTATGGAAACGGATGATTGTTTTTCAATTTTAAACCAAGGGCAATTTTAAATAAAGTGAAATGCATAAAGATGAATAGGTTAAAACAAATTGGATCTGAAATAAATGGGATGCGTAAAAAATATTTAATAAGTTAAGATTTAAAACGATTGATTATACGAGATATTGATTATAGTTATTATTATTATTATTAGATTTGAAATTAATAAGATGCTGAAGAAAGTAGAATGTGTTAAGACTCGAAACGATTGATTACGTGTATAATTATTGAATTTGAAGTAGGACTCTTCAAAAGTTAAATGAGCTAAGGTTTAAAACGATTGATTATTCCATTTAAAATAAATAGTATGTATAAAAAAGTTGAATGAGCCAACATCCAAAACGATTGATTATTGAATTTGAAATAAAAAATTAGATGCGTAAAAGGATAAGTTGCGTGAGCCTAGATTCAAAATGAAGCATTATTCGACTTGAAATAAATACGCGTAAAAATGATAAAATTGAATAAGCCAAGATTCATCATGATTGATTGTTTCTAGGCTACAATTTTGTACTTCTGTAATAGGGTAAGTTTCAATGATGAACTATCTTCGTTTTTAGACGAGATGGACGACAAAGGATTCATAGCGAGAGACTCGTCGTCCATCAAAAGGTAGTCAGAAAAGGCGATGATACTCGATGGATATTGTAAAGGCTATAGGTAATCTACAATCATGTTAGCTCATGCTTTAATTGATAAAGTAAACAAGCCTACTTTAAATTTTCGACGAAGGATTTACCCTCCTATTGAATAGTTTGGTAAAATAGAGACATCCATTAAAGCAGTTAGAAAAAGTGATGCTACTGATAGATATTCGATGAATATTCTAAAGGTTACAGCAACTCTCTACAATCCTATAAGCTCACGATTAATTAAAGCAAAACAATCCTATTTTAAATTTCCGACGACAGATTCATCGTCCTATGGAATAGTAATTGTAAGATAGGGCCATCTATCAAAAGCAGTCAGAAAAGGGGATGATAGTTGATGGATATTGTAAAGGTTGCAGATACTCTACTATCATGTAGACTCACGATTGAATAAATCAAACAGTCCTACTTTCAATTTTCGACGAAAGATTCATCGCTATATTTTTAATCCTCTACGGTAATGTTCACTAATCAAGCAAATATTTGTAATTTCAAATTTTCAACCAAGAACTAGTGATAGGATATTATAGAGGCATCTATAAAACGAGAGTCAGAAATGGCCATAATACCGGATATAGGTTGTAATAACTAGAGATACTATAGAAGCGACAGTAATGTAAGCTAATGATTAAATAAAGCAAACAATCCTATTTTAAATTTAAAATTGACTGATCGATAGAATGCTTTTAATTCAGGAGATTGACGGCAATTTATCACTTAAATAGATCTAGATCCATCGTATAGGATAGGATGGCTTTCCTCCTTTCTCAATCATTTTGACGGATCGATAAAAAAAATTGATCGTATCATCATCCCTTTCAAATCAGCTATGATCAAGTTCAATCTCGTCTCTGTTTTTTTTTTTTCCACTTACCTCAAAGGATAACGATTTATCTTTAACTTTTACGTTGGATTTCTGGCGTTCAACAAATGAATCCGGGCGTATAACACAAACCATATAGACTTGGCCAACCAAACAAGCCTTAGCAGGGGTGCAAATAAGAAGAATTACTTAACGAATAATATGACAGGTGGTTATTGTCATGCTAAAACAATACTATTAACATGCATGTGGCGATGTCATGGTAATCTACTCTAGTAAAGTAATAATTACTCTACACTCAATGGTATCTTGTCCATTTTAAAATTATATTAGAAAGACGTGATGAATCAGACAGAAACAAAAGTATCCATGCATGGCCTGATTCTCGCTTTTAATAGGAAGAGGATTATAGAATGAAAGGATTGTGCAAAAAATGACTCATGGAATATCATGATACATGGAGTTTATGATATTCTTAAAGAATAAGTTTGGAGTATCATGGTTGATATACTTTATTATTTGCTTATGTCAACGTAACATAAAGATGAGATGGAGTGCTTAGGTACTGAATGGATAATATTCTTCATAGACTTTTTTCTTGCTACATATAGCTTATTATTTGCTCATGAGAATGTAAAGTTAAGACAAGATAGTATGCCCCCGTGTTTAAGTTCAATGGTGATATTATATAATGCAAGGAATGGCTCAAGGACTATCATCATGATGCTTATAATTTATGATATTCGCAAAGCAATGCGTCTTGAAGTATCATAATACATGTAGCTTATTATTTCTTTATGTCAATACAAAGTTAAGATGAGATATAGAGCATCCGTATTTAAACGATAATATCTTCGGAGAAACTACTTTCCTAAAGTATTACCATTGATATAATTTATTATTTACTAATGAGGATGTAAAGCTTGAGATAAGGTGAAGTTTCTCCGTCTTTAATGGATGATATCTTCGAAAAACTACTTCCTTAACGTATCATTCTATGTCGTTTATTATTTACTGATGAGAATGTTAAATTAAGACGAGATGGAGTCCTGCGTGCTTAATGGATAATATTTTCGAAGAAGGTACTTTCCTAAATTATCAATTTGAATATTGGCTTAAAACTGATCGGTAAAATTATTCTCTTAAGTAAACTGATTATTACTGCAATGATATCATGGGAATAAACTATACTCAAATTGGCTAATGAAGTCTTTATACATCCTAATAAGTTATTGAACAATCGCAGAGTAGAAAATAGTATTTATCTTGGCTGATACCTTGTTCTATTCATGAGGATTACCAGAATGAAAATGGAGATTGCTAGTATTTATTTCAGGATCACTAAAATACTACAGAGTAGACATGACCATAATAGCACAGTAGGTGTCTTTCATTGACCTTAAAATCGATTTTTTCCAAGCATAAACATAAACTCTATTATCATCATAGAGTCACTATTTTGATTTCGTTGATTCAATGCCGTCTAGCAATGATATCATAGAATGGACTAAATTGAACAAGATGAAGATCGGTATTTTTCTTTTCGGCTAAAAGGGCGGTTATAGATGCTATGGCTTAATTCTCAATTCTTCTACAGACACCAAATAGTTATTATCATTATTATCAGGATTGATAGACTAGCATACGTTTAAATTCTACGTTTGGAATTCGAACTTGTAAATCATTATTGCCTATAATACCGAAAATTCAATCCTAGTCTTACAACTACAAATATTCAAGCGATAGAAGCACCTCTGTTCAAGGAGCAATCAATAGACTATTTTAACGTCCAAGCGATCATTAAATCTTGTCTAAAATAGTTGTTAATATCATGAAAGGGTAAACAACTTTATCTGTCACAGCTCTCTTGGTACAATTTTGAAATATGTAGTAAGTACTCCATTAGAGCAATAAAATTCTTACTGATATTGTACATTAATGGCTGCCTATTCAACATTAGTATACCACAGCAGTGGGCTCAAATGCATAATTCGTATTCATATCTGCAGATGTTCATACTTGTATGACATATACACTTTCAAGTAATCATATAAAATAATTGTATTTTTCAGCATTTACATCAGTCTCTTTTTTACATTTATGGTCTATTAATGACTTTTGCACAACATTTCTATATTAATTAAAAAAACTCTCGTCTACATAATCAGTTCAGTTAAGGCATTAGCTATACGATAAAATGATTTCCTGCCAATCGCAACTAATATTACTTTGTTATTGCGACTATCGGTAAACTAATACAAGGTATCATTAAATATAAATTAAGGAATAACGCGAATGTTTTTGAAAATAGAGGATTGTCAACATAAATTATTACCGTCGCCCTAACATTTATTATTAATGTATTTATGCAAAATTAAATATCCTTCAAAAAATGGATGCAAATATTTTATGAGATCAGATGCTTGTTAAGACGAATTACTATCGTCGCTGTAACATTTATTATTTCTATATTTATATAAAACTAAATATCAACTCTTTTAGTTGATAGTGTAATTCACATCGCAAAGCTTATTGATGCTAATCACTAATGTATTCTATTCGATGGCTCAGTTGTATCTTAGAGACCTTGCTAATTTTGACTCTGATTATGGGAGGGCTGAATAGCAATTTTCTTGTCCATAAATTGCTCAGATTGAGTAGCAGTATAAGTAGTAATAACTGCTACATCATCAGAAACTCTTTTTAATCGTTGTAATTCGATTTATGTCTAGTAAATATTAATGTATACTAATAAAAGATGAATAAATTCTCTTAGGTTAGTAACATTTTACTGCTAGTTAGAGGAATACAATTTCTATTGGTGTTCTTTTTAATAAAGAAATAATTCCTAATATTACGTTACTAAATCGACGATGAAACAAATGCTTGTTAGTAGCTCTATTGATTGATGTATACTATAGTTTGGCATGCAAGTAGGAACTCAATAGAATGAATCCGCAATAGTAGTGTATTAAATTAAAACTATAGCTATTCTATCATGAGTTAATATTTAAAGTAGGACATGAAATCTATGTATTATTAAAGCGAAACATTAATCTAAGCTAGAGCATCTATTATTGTAGAACTATCTTACGGTATTGTCTATTAACTCAAGTTTGTTTAGAGTATTTTATGGCCTTATTTGAAATCAGACATCTATAAATTGGCTATATAAAATAGCTTAGACACCGTTTAGGTCATCTTTAAAGATTTTGTTTTAAAGTTAAAAATGTAAATAGTCAAGTATGACAATCCTCAAAATAAATTAATACCCTATATCGAGCCATATAATTATGCTCAATAAAATTGGAATGCCATTAAATCAAACTTATTGCTACTATATGTTTGATAGTATTACAATATTGTTAGGGTCTAGAAGAATGAATTTAATTCAACAAAGATGGATACGGAGCGTGTTATCGAAATGTATTCGTAAATTAATCAATACCTGTAAGGATCGAAGGATAGGCTTTAATAACTTGCTTGTTCTACCACGTACATCAATAATGACTGTAAATCCATGACGCCTTGAATCGTCACTAAAATAGAAATAATAATGTAAACTTACGATAATAACTGATTAAATATTACATATTAGAATATTTAATGTTTGTTACTGTATTAAATTATGATTGTTTTATGACATTATAAAAGCTTAATATATCTTTAATATTTTAACCAATTTTAAGGAAAATAGGCTACTTGGCGTTATCAACCGCAAGTAGAATGTACGTAGAAAAGAATTAAAATAACGAGTCAGATTCAGTTTTTACTACCTTATTTGAATAGAGTTTAAGGATGTAAGTGTAAATGAATACAAAAATTAAATATCACCAGTTGATTTTTCGTAGAGTTTAAGGATACAGAACGAATCAAATAAATAAGATTCAATCTCGCTCTCTGATTTATATAAGAGTGAATCATACAAATAAAATTTGATTTCACTAACTAATTTTTCACAAAGTCTAACGATATAGTCCTTAGAATAAATTATGTGAATAACAAGACCCTATTTCACTAAATAACTATTAAGAGAATTTAAGGATTGAAGCATAAATTATATGAATAGTAAGGTGCAATTTCACTGGTTGATGAGTTGATAGCTAGGGGCTTAACGAACGTAAGAGTGAATTTTATGAATAAAATTAATCTCACTAGTTGATTTTAAACAAAGTCTAACGATATACTCGAAAGAATAAATTACGAGAATAACAAGATTCAATTTCACTGACTTTAAACAGAATTTAAGGATATAATAAATCATACCAATAGCATGATTCAACTTCACTAATTGATTAGTTGATAGCTGAAAATTTAAGGAACGCAAGAGTGAATCATATAATTAAAGTTTTATGTCACCGGCTGATTCTTAGCAGAGTTTAAGGGCGTAACAGTTGATTCGTAGGAATAAAATTGCTAGTCACTAGTTGATATTTAATAGAGTTTAAGGATGTAAAAATACTAATTTGAAAAATAGATTAAATATAGAGTAAGGAAATGCATCCAATTTACGAGTTAATGTTTAATAGAATTTAACAGTATATAGGAATGAATTGAATTAATAGAAAACAACCTAATGGATAACTCAATTTATTAAAAGTTCAATACTAACTTGTATTGGCATCACATCAATACTAATCTACCACTCGAAAACATAAAAGACTATTTCTCCATTTCATTAGGCATAGAGAGGGGACAGAGTAATGTATTTTAAGATGTCGATGTTGACTTTAAACGGCTGAAGGGATGATAAGTGCCTCAGATAGAAGGACTATCCAAAGAATGGATACAATAAACGTTGTAATGTTATTTATCATTCAATAACCTATATGCTTAGATGGTAAACTATAGTAGGGTTGGATGATCGATCATGCTGAAATGTTGACACATTCAAGTTTTAAGAATGAGAATAGTGTAGGAAAACAGACCATCAAAGTGCTTTTGACTTTTGAGACAGTGAATAAAAGAGTCAAACAACAACAAGCCTATTTCTACCTCTCTTTACACTAACTTTGTTGACAATAAGTAAAACGCAATCATCAATAATCATTATCTAACCTTGGAATTTTAGATAGATATAAAATAGTTGATGTTAATTCGGTAATAGAGATCTCCTGCTGCGTTCTTGCTTGCGCTGGAAAGGTTATAACTGGTCCACCTCGTTTGTCAACTCCTCCTACAATAATTTAAATTTATTCTTGAACAGATAGCATCATGATAAGAATGATTTTACTAGCTCTACTACCGGTCATTTTATACTGATCATTTTACTGAGATAATTTAACCGTATAGTTTTGCCATCATAGTCAATGCAATCCAATAGATCAAGTTGACAACAATAATCGATTAGTATTGGTATCCTATAATATTATCGCTGATTAACTTTCTGGTTACTTCTTTTATCATATTAAATAAACTTTATTACGTCGCTTATTTCATTTTCTACATTCTATGTAATCAACTCTTTATACTCCACTGCCTATATTTTTACATGTCTTTCATCGATGAACGATAATATCATTACTTATTTGACTAAAAATTTAGCTAAAGTAATCCATCATAAAATATACTAATTCAATAAAAGGTGAAGGAATCAAATAGAACCTATGTGTCTATGCTCATTGAGTTATAACGCTATTTTACCTGATAGAAAGGCAATTCTAGAGCGTAAAATGTTTAAAATGTCGTTAGCGTTGGTTGCATCAGCTAAAAATAAATGTTAAAAAATACAGTCATCAGTGATTGTCGAATGCATGTTGATATCCCAATAACCTTGATTACAGTAATGAAGGAAAAGAAAAGTAATGCAAATGATCACTAGATAAGATTACATCGTCACTGTCGGATTTTAATTACAGTTTTATCTTATTATTATGAAAAGATAGTATACAGTGCAAAGATATCGCTGCAATAAAAGGGCTGATTTTAATAACCAAGCCCAATTTGTTGTAGCATATGCATAATGTCAAGTAGCGATAGTTGAGATGAAAGAAATGGAATAATTTTAACGATAGCATGATGATTGCCTGGTAAGTGCGATTTTAAAACTATTGATGTGGAAAGATTGGATGGATAATTCATTCCTTCATCCATCATGATATCATGCCACGTTCTGTAAAAATTGCTTATTGATTTAAGGAGAAAATATGCAAGACACTTACAATCAATAACTTGTCCATACTTTCGACCTTTACGATGGCGTTTGGAAAAGGAATAGTCAGATCCCTGACTTTCCATGTCCGACTCATCAGTAGATGTAAAGTACGACATCTTGGTGGCTATTTTTCCTCAACTTGAGCTAAAATTATTATACAATTTTTGAAGGTTTAATTCTATTCTGCATTTCTTAAAAAACAGCGTTACTGAATTTTTCTTCGTTGACAGCCTTAAGACCTCTTTTCAAAATGATTACTATTCACGAGCATAGGCCTTCTTCTATATCAGTTCATTAATTCACATGATCAATTGTTATGATCATTATGCCAGTAGTTAGCAGAAGCTATTGCCAAAGTTAGTGGGATGTGGCTAAAATCTTTGATAACGTCGCCATAACAATGTCATTAACATTGTTCAATTACCTACAATGATGATAATATGGAGGAGTAATTAAAAATTTGCTTTCTATTATTTTATATTCTATACCACAGTTCTGACTAATAGTAAGGGATAGAAGAGAAAAGCTACAACTTCTGTACTTGTATAGATCAAGAAACTAAATATAATTGTGGCAATTGATTTTATCTTATGGATACAGCAGAGTTTTAAATATTCTTCAATAAAAGCAATGGATTTGATCGTAATCCAAGTCGATCGCGGACTGTATAAATAAATACTCTCACTTGATTTGATCTTGTTGAACTGTTATATTGGTTAATGGTATTCTAATTAAATTGTTTTTCTTACAGTATTTAAACATGAACTAATGATGCTCAGATAGGCATTAATAAATCTATGTAGTAGAAGTGTTTACTAAGGTGCTCATGTATGTATCTATACTGGTAGTTCATCCTAGACGTTCAAATAATTAATATAACCATGCTGAACAACATTGAAGACTCCGATCTTGTGTCAATAATAATAATAACAATGATGACTTGATCAATAGATGTTATTATAATTTTTTTACTAGGAAATAACTGTTTGCTATTTATTAATACCGATCGATTGCGGCATTGTTTACCTTTTAAGCTTGATCATTAAGAATGATAAGATGCAAGATAACAGAAATAAAATGGCGCTAAATGAAGGATGGCAGGAAGTGAAGATTAATTTTATAATCTTTTTTGGGGAGGGGAGGGTATTTAGATATACGAGTATTTAGCGAGCATCTTTGACTTATTAATTATAGCTAGTTTATAGTTATAGATTGGTCTTTATACATGAATTAGAGTAATCAAGTTCTAGATTTTGCATCTGTATAAGAAGCTACTGCCATATCAATATGGATAATTATATAATATATTTCCTTTTCAGAAGCATTCGTATAGTTGTCCAGTACTCTCTAGTTTGATGCTTTAGGGGATCGAATTGAATACGAAATACTGCGAAAGATGACTATTAATTTCACCATTGATGTCATTGTATTCTAATACTTGTTAAGCTCTCCCTAGTTTTGCACTTCAGGGGTTAAATTACAACAAATATAAACAAACTGCTATAGTGTAGGTAACTATAAGATACATGGCTAATAAGAAATGCTAGCAAATTCACGATTGCAATAATAAGGATATTATTATTTCGCTTTTTTATGTTTTTGTATTCTGATACTCGTTTAGCATCGTATAGCTTTACCTCTTGAATTAAGTAAATAAATAAATACTATTAGAACTAGTTAACTACGGATACATAGCTGAGAAATACTAGAGACTATTGTTGCAACAATCACATCAATTGAGCTATTTACGTAATTATGTTTTACATTAGCAATTACTCCATAGCTTAGCACTTCAGGAGTCAATTACAGTAAATAGATGGTTCTATAGGCAGATGACTAAAAGATAGGTGGCTAAGAAATACTTGCTGATTCATAGGTGCAACTCAAATGTATATCCATCTCACTTTTTATATCCAAAGATTCGTGTACAAATCAAGCATAGTCTACCTTTGCCTTTTAGGAATTGAATTAGAGTAAATTAGGACTATTATAGCTAGTTGCCCATAAGATATACAACTGAGAAATACTTGTATTTCTTACTGCAATAATGTGAGCGTATTAATTTGGTTATTTATGTCACTGTATTTTAATACGGTACTTGTCTAGCACTCCTTCGCTTTGCGCTGTAGGCAGGTACAGTACACGATGTAGGGTAAAAAGTACTCATAAATTCATGGTTGTAACGGCAAATGTATATTAATTTTACATTTTATATCATTACATTCGTATATTTGTACAACGCTCTCTTACTTTACCTTTTACGAAATATAGTAAATAATACTTGGATAGGTAGTTTATTACAAGATGCACAGCTAAGAAATACTCGCAGTTTACAGTAATGGTAGCAATAGCAAGCGTTCACTTTTTAGGTCTTTGTATTCAAGGAGCATCATTTCTGGTTAAGCATTTCTTTATGATGTTTCTATTGCTATAAATAAAATATTCCCGACATTTTCATACACCAGAAACTGTGGTATATCATGTGATGTTACCCCTTGCTACTATATGAGCAAGATTCGTCTACTTGTCAAAGCACACTATACTTTTAGCTTTTAGGGAACTAAATCAGCAAAAAGTACGATAGCGAACCAATTAGTACCGCACGTATTAATTAATAATGATTACAAGCACGGTATAACCGAGAGCTGATAAATATTCTGACCAGTATTTCATTATACATAGGTAAAAGTGCAATGGAATACCATCACTATTTATGCTGAGGCACTGGAAGGAAATTACGTGAATCTTGGCCTATTTTTACTAGCAACATAATAAATATACACGTCACTTAAGAGCTAGAAATTTCATAAAGTAGACTGCATGCTAAGATAGACTGCCGTACCAATTATTTACGTAAAGTTGCCTAACTGTCGAGTTCATGACATTTTTCTTTACTATACTGGATATTACTACTATTTAATGTTTATTATTGAGCTTTAGTATCCTTTAAAACCTAGATATACGCAACATTGATGGTACAGACGAACTTTTAAACCGATTTAAAACTTGCACTATCCACTGGTGAGTTTACAATATAAGCTGCTTTTACAATGAATTGCATTTTCTCACCTATGATATGCCCAGTAATACAAAAAGTAAAACTTGAAATATTACAAATACACGCTAGTAAAGCTATTAGTAATTAATAATTCTATATTGTATTTCCCACCTACCATATAAAATAAGTCTAAATATACATCCATAATGACTTGTAATTATTTTTAGAAATAAGCTTGTCCAAAAACGATTTAGTTGTTGTAATTATTCCCTCACATTGTAATTAACCCTCATTAAGGCATCAATCTTCATTAATCAAAGTTGGGTAAGTAACGAGTAAAGAGGTTAAAATTTGAGCTTACGATCAATACCGTATAAGGAGTCTGAAATTTACGCAACATCTATAAATACTTTATTACGTATAGTGAATATTTTTTCCTAATTTTTAGTACTATATATGTCAAACTTGTTCATTTTTACTCTAAACATAACAATACGTAACTGGTAAAGACGAATTTTTATTCATTTAAGTCACTGTTTTAATTCTTTAATTAAGATGACGATATTAAATTAAATTGAGCGAAATATTATATGGTATTCGTGACCTACGCTGTCTAATAAAATGAGGTCATAGTATTCAGAAGCTTCCCTCTTGGTTCATTTAACTTTTACATTACAGTTGCACTTGAATTAGATCAATAATGATATTGCATGTTGCCCAATACCTTCGCGCTTGTTCACTTTTATAGTAATAAGCGTACGCGTAATGTATCATAGAATAGACGGTTAAAGGAAATTAATGGAAATCGTGAGTATTCATCCTTTGAGAAAGTTATAGCAGTATTTCGGAGTAGAAGATACACTCTAGGATACAATTATATATCGGCGGAAGAAATTTAAATTACCTGGTTTAAGTTTCGTCATGTAAGTTTAGGTTGTAGAATCTCATTGGTAACAGAAATCAACCTCATTATCCCGGTGATGAATGAGATAGTTATGACTAAAGTTTAGTAGAGATACATTAATGGAATGGTTTCCAGAGCGTAAAATTGAAAGATTAGCTGATCAAGGTTACAATAATAGAAATTAACCTGCCTAATAATAATATCGGATAAACAAGTTTACTGTTTCCCGAGTCGATAACAAGAACAATACCTGTTTAATTTATCTAAACTTGACCTTGTTGACTAGGCTAAAAATGATCCAACTACAATAATTAAGCGTCGTCTACGTCAAATGAAAATTCTCAATAGCCATTTGAATAATACTATCGCTTTAGAGATTGCCAGTATCTATTTTCACTCCATTATGAATTGCATTATGTACCCAACAGATAATTAGCTCCATTGCTCCCCTATCCCAATTGAGATGACGTAGGCATAAAACAGGCATTATTTCAATAGAGTTATCCATTGATAATATCGCTATCATGGTGTTATCGTTTGTCGAAGGTAGTTTCTGAAAGCGTTATTGACGCAAGTTGGTGTTCGTCTTCATGACAACATACTACTAAAATATCATAGTTGCGTTTACCATAACAAAGAGTAAAGGTAAACTTACCTTTTCTCCTACCGTGATGACAACAATAATAATGGTAAGATGGTGAAACGATACGACTAATCAGCCGAATAAACCAGCATACACAAGTTGTCTCATATTGACAATTTAGTCCTTAAAATATGGTTGTGGAATAGAAGATTATTATTTGATGACGTGATAAGAGTATAAAATAAAACTATGGTTTATGAATGCAATATTATCATTCTTGAGTATAGTAAAAGGTTTAAGGTCTAAGATAATTTGCCTTCCAATGTTTAAATAGTCTGATTGAAAAAAAAAGGAATAACGAGCGAATGAAATTAAAGAGAATAACCAATATTAATCAATATTTATAGGATAGCTTAGACTATTTCCCCCTCAACGCTCCAAGAGTTTAATCCTTTACTACTTGAAGACACCACTAAAGTGGTCAGTGAAATCAGATTCGGTAATCTTGTGCAGCACTGGAAGAGAGTTTTATTAAGATCATTTATGCAGACTAATGTTTCATTTTCCTAGTTTACACATGGCAATGTAATGTATGTTATGTACAGTGTTAAAACTCCTCTAGATCAGCTAT